TATCTATCTATCTATCTATCTATCTATCTATCTATCTATCTATCTGCCTACACCACAACACACCTCGGCTATTCCATTCTTCAACAACATAACTGATCTATAGTGTAGGCCTTGCAACAAATTTCAAGGCTGATCGGATGTCGAGAAAGATAGCCAAAACAGTGGAACCACGTGACCAAATCGAAGAGTGGATCATACTATCGACACAGCAAATGGATAACGTTTAGTCCAAATGTTCCAATCCAATTGCAAACACAAGAGGGAAAAAAGTCATCATGAACCTACATCACCGTAGTCCAGTTCCATTTCGTAGAAACGGTGTGGGACCTTTTCGAACCGATCCCGGTTGCGCCACTCGTTCCCGGTCTTCTCCAGATAAACGGCTTCAAAGTTTTGACGTGCTGCACTTTCGGTGGTAAACTTTTCCAGTTTTGTTCCACCAATTGTTGTTCCGATCCGACCCCAGGCACGAAACACCCAGAACGAATGACCACCGGTATCTTGCTTCAATGCTTGCAAACTGTCAGCAACAGAAGGGAATTACGCGGTAGGAAGGAGAAGAATATGGAGCGTGAAGTGCTACATCGTACATAAGGAAAATGAAAAATACTCTAATAACTTGTCGAGTTGGTCGAGTGCGCTGCGTTATGTCACAAGTTTGATCTCCACTTGGGTCAATGAATTCACACTGCGGACGAGAGACACAACTAGTGCCTCTTAGCTTTTCCGTTCACATTTCACTTTACTTTTTACACGACGAAATGAAACATATGACCAAAACAATCATTATCACCTCAAGGTGGAAGTGCTAGCAACAAGCGAACAGACAAAAACGTCAGTTAGTACAAGGGGATGTTAGTTTTCTTTTTATTTGGTTACGCACGCCTTCTAATATTTTTGCTGTTTCGGATATAACCGATGTCAGAAAGAAGACAAACACGCTAAACAACCACATAATTGATTGAGTTCGCTTAGTATGTTGTTGTGTAGCCCACGGATCAAGGTACCCACCGAACAAGCTTGGATTGCAAATCCAACGAACACGTGATAAGACGGACGGCAAAGTAATAACCCGAAGTGACCCAATGACCGAACGAGAACCCCACAACTACGCCCAATTAGGCACGTTCCAGATCAGTCAGCGAAACTCAGCACAATGCCAGATAGACCTTTAAGCGAGGTATTTTATTACACAGACATTTTTGTGTGATGAACAGCAGACGGGGCGAACCCCATAATCATGAAGACCTGCTATTCAGTGATGGAAACCGGTAACCGGAGTGGCGAACCACATACGGTCCCACCAGGATAGGCCTGGTACTGAACCGGATGACAGCAAAGTTGTCTACCACTAAAGTTGGATGGTAATGACGGGATTCAAACCTCAGACCGTAAGGTTCAAAGCAGGCCGGTGACAGCGATTAAACTACTGCACCACCACCACCATGGTAATGTATTTGACTCGACCCAAAGGCGATTGTAGTCGACATCATCTGTTTATATACGTTTTCGAATAATTATCTCAAAAAATCTGTTCTGGAGGAAGGGAGCAAGCATGACCAGTGGTGCGAAATGAGGTTATCATGGCGCATAAACTTGAAGAGTCAGGTTTTATACTAATGAAGAGAAAAGCAGGGAAAATGAAGAGGAAATGGTCAATTCGGAGGGGAAAATGGACTTGACCCTATCAGTTGCCTTTACCGTGTACAACTAACAATATTTCAAGACAACCATTTTTTTTAATACACACCTTAGTGTGAAGAACGGCAGACAGGGAAAACCCCACAATTACGAGGACCTGTTGTTCAGTGATTGAAATCGCTAACTCAAGACCCGGGACTTGGAGTGGCGAACCACATAAGACCGCACTAGGTTAGGTATGGTACTGAACCCGTTTCATTTCCATTTGGCGATTATTATCTTCAGTACAGGGCATAAACAGCTAGACCAGATAAGCGAAGACGTGCTAACCGAGTTTGCTAGTTTTGTCGGCCACCAGTAGGTCGAAGCGCGAAATGCATCAAAACTAATGTGTGATCAGACTTGACGTTGCTCAATGGGACCTACAATTTTGTACTGAGTCAAGCCAACGAATGTTGACTGCAATATGGTTGTTTTGAGTTAGCGCACCAGTGAAATTAAAGCGCCATGTTCCCGTCCGTTAAGAGCTGTGCCCTATGTTCCTACTGAACAGGAACAGATGGTAGTCTACGCCAAACTGAAACAGTGGATGCTTTTGTCTGTTTGTTGTTAGGAGAGAGCACAAAGACCGCCTAGGTAAGCGCTTCTGGTGAGCTCCGATTTCCAACTTGTGCGGTAAAATCACCTGCAAGCACGACTATAACGGTGCTTCGGCTCAACCGAAAAGGTTCGGGAAGTTTGTTGTAGAAAACGTCCATATGTGCGTCGGAACTGTAGTTGGTCAGTGAGTATAAGAGGATGTAAAAGCAGTTATTGGTGTTACTTCCCTTCCGGACACTTATTGATTCCTGGAGCAACATTGCACATGAACGACTGTTGACGGGAATGCAAACGATTAGTGACGCTTAAGTTCTGTTGTTGAGTATAACACCTAGTCGACAATGGCCGGTCGAGAGAACTTCGTTGTCTGGGAGTAAATCTAGTACAGATCCGGGACACTCAAGTGGCTTGTAGTAGTAGGATCATAGAGTCGTATTTACCATACACAGTACGCATCAAACCCCCCAAACAGTCCATTGTACGCTCCAAGCAAGCTTACTGACCCACGGCCATCTGAGTCCTCAACTAAAAGTCACCCCAGATTCATTGGTTCTCAAGGCTTCGGAATCCGCAATCTATTTCATAATGAACTACTTAGAACGCTACTAGGCACGAACTTTGGTGAGTGACAAACGAGCTATCTGATGGAATGTTGCAGGTTGGAAAAAGGGGGAAAGGGAGTAGGATGAGTACACAAGGCAGAGAATTAAGGAAAAGTTAGAATGTCTGAGCAGTAGCCAGCTTATCACTACCTACCCCGCTCTGTGCAATGGGCAGTGCGGTTCTGATTATCCGGTGCGACATTCGGTGCAGTATATAGGTAAGTGTAGTTTTTGTATGCTCTAGAGTTGAATGGAAGGATACAACTAGCTTATCCTGCCACTAAGCAGAATAATTATTAGGGTTCTGAACAAGAGCCAACAGTCCTGACAAGAACCTACACGTAAGGCAATGGCTAAAGTGAAGTGAAGACCGATCTAGTCGGATCGATTACTCCTCCTATCACTGTTTTTACCGACTGAGACACCAATCCGAGTCGTATCCCCAACCTGGAAGATCAAGAGACTGAGCTTTGCCTGACCTCTACCCTCTGACTTGATAAGCGCCACATCCCGTGTAGCTCGTTTTCTTATTACAAACATTTTTGTGTGATAAATAGCAGACAGGGTGACCAGCTGTTCAGCGACAGAAACCGGTAACCTAAGCCCCGGGACTTGGAATGGTGAACCAGATAAGGCCCCATAAGGTTAGGTGTGGTATTGAACCCGACGACAGCAAAGCTGCCTATCACCAAAGTTGGGTGGTGATGACGGGGATCGAACCTCGGGCCATAGGGTCCTGAGCACACCGGTGACAGTGACTAAACCACTGGGTTAAGCCATTAGATCACTTCGCGATGAACAATGACGAATGTTGACCACTGGAAACAAATTAGTAGTTTCGTAATACAAGGAGACGCGAAAACGGTTCACGGTGCTAGCACCGACAACACATAATCGAGAACCACTAACCGGTAAAACGAATTGCATCCTTTAACCAAGTCAACCATGCCGAGAACGGCAGTCATCGGTGTGCCTCGAGAGTCTCGCATCACAGTGGCTTTTGTATCAAGACCGGATTCAGGATCCACGACTGCTCCGCCTTTGAATTTTACTCGCATCACATCTTCTTGACCAGGAGTCACGAACTCTGCAGGAATATGTAATCATAGAGAAAGGATTATTAGACCGCGAGGATCGATAGAGGCCGTTGATGGTGAACAACTAACGGTTTTCATGCGCGGTAATCAAATTGAACTACAAAAGAGACAATGTGCATTTAGAGTGTCTGACAAAGAGGCAGTTCATATGCAGTAAAAAGCGAAACGGGAGTGATCTGTCATTCACTGATAACTAACTGAGTGGAAAATTGGGTTTAGGTAGGAAAAAATTACTGCTTACGCTCTCTC